TACTGGAGATATCCTAGTGGAGACACTCGCACGATTCGAGAAGGATGTGAAGCGGACCGACACCGGGTTCCTGGCGATAGCAACAGAGGTGGAGAATGACGGAGAGGAAGCCCCGGAAACTCCAGAAAAAATCAAGGAATTATTAAAGGAGTTCCAAGACATTCTTCCTGACGATCTGCCGAATGAGCTACCGCCATACCGAACGCATCAACACGAGATCGTGGAGGAACCGGGTTCGAAGCCGACCTTCCGAGCACCATACCGGCTCAGCCCTACGGAGCTGACTGACATGAAAAAACAGATCGAGTATCTTCTAGCCAAAGGACTCATCCGGCCATCCACTTCGCCGTACGGTGCCCCAGTACTCTTCACACCGAAACCGGACGGAAGCCTGCGCATGTGCATCGACTACCGAGCTCTTAACAAGCAGACCATCAAGAATAAATATCCGATACCACGAATCGATGACCGGCTTGACCAGCTTCGGGGAGCTACGGTATTTTCCAAACTGGATCTGCGGTCCGGATACTGGCAGATACGGATGGCGGACAACTCTATCCACAAAACTGCTTTCCGAACTCGGTACGGATCGTACGAGTATTTGGTCATGCCGTTCGGACTCACCAACACGCCGGCAACGTTCCAAGCCGAAATGAACCACATTCTACGACCACTTCTGGACGAATGCGTGGTGGTGTACCTGGACGACATACCCATCTACTCGCGAGACATGAAGCAGCACGTCGAACACCTGCGACGCGTCTTCGAAATTCTTCGACGGGAACGATTCTACGTCAAACTGTCCAAGAGCGAATTCGCCCTTGAAAAGGTCCAGTTCCTAGGGCACCTGGTGAGCGTTCAAGGAGTTCACGTCGACCCCAAGAAAATCGAAGCCGTACGTACGTGGAAGACACCCGAGAACGTGAAGGAGTTGCAGCAGTTCCTAGGCTTTGCTAATTACTACAACAGGTTCGTGCCACAGTAGGCGAAAATCGCAGCACCACTCACGAATCTGCTGAAGAAGAACACGCCCTACAAATGGGAACCAAAGCACCAGGAAGCCGTGGAGCAGCTGAAACAAGCACTCACGTCCGCCCCGGTACTCATCTTGCCAGATCCCGAACGCGACTACGTAATCGAAGCTGACGCCAGCGACCAGGCAGTGGGAGCAGTCTTAATGCAAGACCAAGGGAATGGACTGCAACCAATTGCCTACCTTAGCAAGAAACTGCACGGGGCAGAACTCAACTACCCGATACACGACAAAGAGGCTCTTGCTATCATCATCGCCTTCAAAGCGTGGAGATGCTATCTCGAAGGACGAAGAACAACCGTCTACACCGACCACTGCAGCCTAAAATATTTGAAGACACAACCCAACCTTTCCAGGCGGCAGGTCCGGTGGATCGACTTCCTCGAGACACACTTCCACTACGACATCGTGTACAAGCCCGGCCACAAGAACAAAGCAGACGCTCTCAGCCGGCCTGCACACGTTGCCGCGATTCAGGTCGAAGGGATGAATCCACTACTCAAGGGACTCTTCACACACGGGTACGCCATCGACCCCGAAATTCCCTTGGCAGAAAAGCGACATCTGCTACAGTGGGACAGTGACATCGCGTACCGGAAAGGATCCACAAAAATCTGGGTACCCAATTACCCTCCTTTGCGCCAGTTACTACTCGAAGAATACCACGACGTCCTCTACGCCGGACACTTCGGTAGCAACAAGACGCTGACCGGTATCGCAAAGCACTACTACTGGCCCCACTTAGCAGAAGATGTCCAGAAATTCCTCACCTCGTGTGATACATGTCAGCGGATGAAGAGCAGCAAGCACAAAAAGGCGGGACTACTGCAGCCTCTTCCTGTCCCAGAACAACCATGGCAAGTGGTTAGCCTGGACTTCATCACCGGGTTACCACCTACCTTCAGCGGTCATGACGCCATCCTTGTCGTCATTGACAAGTTCTCCAAAATGGGACACTTCATCCCGACACACACGACGGCACACACCGAGGAGACAGCACAGCTCTTCGTTCGTCACATCATCTCACAGCATGGCATCCCAACCACACTCATTTCTGATCGAGACCCCAAGTTCACCAGCAAGTTCTGGAAGGAACTTATGTCTCTTCTCGGAACCAAACTCGCCATGTCATCCGCATACCATCCGCAGACAGACGGACAGACCGAGCGCCTCAACCAAATTGTTGAGCAACTCCTCCGAGCAGCCTGCAAGGACGACATCTCCAAATGGGACTTGCACCTGCCCGTTCTGGAGTTTGCTTACAACAACGCCACACATGCCGCTACTGGACAGACGCCGTTCTTCCTCTGCTACGGACGCCACCCACTCACACCACAAAAACCGACAGCATCAGCTACAGTCCAACCAGCACATGATTTCATTACAACCATGCATCAACTTTGGGATCGGACCCATAAGCGCCTCCTTGACATTCAACAGCAACAGAAGCGCCAGGCCGATCGCCATCGCAACGACCACACCATTTCCGCGGGAGACCAGGTGCTCCTCGACACCCGCAACCTGGACATCAGCCATCTCCCATCTAAACTTCGACCTCGCTTCTGCGGGCCTTTTCTCGTTGAAGCACAGGTCACTCCTGTTACCTTCCGCTTACGCCTGCCAGCTACCTGGAAGATTCACAACGCCTTCCACGTCCAACTTCTGAAGCCCTATCGGGACCCGAACACAATTTTCGTCGGACGCCAACCGCCGCCGCCACCGCCCGTCCTCGTCCAGAATGAACCCGAGTACGAGGTCGAGTCCGTGCTCGCACACCGCCGTCGTCGGAATGGCACCGTGGAGCTTCTCATCCGTTGGAAGGGTTATGATCCTTCTGAGGACAGCTGGGTACCTGAGTCCGACATGGGTAACGCCCGTCGTCCTCTGCATGACTACCTTGTTAAGCAGGGTGTTACTTCTACCACCCAGCTTTGAGGGGGGGAAGTGTGAGAGTACGACCCCGTTACACCACTTGGCCTTTTCTTATTTCCTTCCCTTTTCATTTCTCTTTTTACCGCATCTCATTTGGTTTCCTATTCTTCCTTTCCCATTAACCTTTGGTCTATCCTGCTATTATAAGTATATCACCGACCAGGCTTGGGATGTATTGGTGCGCTATATTTAGCGTAATCCTGCCGTAATCCCTTAAAGCCAATAGCCTCGCGTGGCTATACGCAGGGTGATTCTATCTTCTAGAAGGGTCTATTCTCTTAGGATAAGATAAACCTGGTTACCTGATGTACTCTGGAAGTATAAAAGCGCCTTGTACTGATCGATAGTGCAACCTTTCCTCGACACATTCGATCCTGTGACAAGGGCGGTGCAAGGGGGGGGGGGGAACCGTACCAGTGAGGATGAAGGGGCCGGGGCAGAGATGAGCGCAGGGGCCTGGCTGGTGCAGCGGGGCCCGGCAGACGCAGCGGGGCCGGGCAGGGCGCAACGGGGCCAGGCGGGTGCGACAGGGCCGGGCCGGTGCAACGGTGCCGGGCGGGTGCGACGGGGCCGGGCGGGCGCGACGGGGCCGGGCACGTGCGACAGGGCCGGGCGAGGGCGACGGGGCCGGGCGGGCGCGACGGGGCCGGGCTGGGGCGACGGGGCCGGGCGGATGCGACGGGGCCGGGCCGGTGCAACGGGGCCGGGCGGGTGCGACGGGGCCGGACGGGTGCGACGGGGCCGGGCTGGGGCGACGGGGCCGGGCCGGTGCGACGGGGCCGGTCGGGTGCGACGGGGCCAGGCGGCTGCGACGGGGCCGGGCAGGGTGCGACGGGGCCGAGCGGGTGCGACGGGGCCGGGCAGGTGCGACGGGGCCGGGCAGGGGGCAATGGGGCCGGGCAGGGCGCGACAGGGCCTGAAGGCTTGACGCGGCCCAAGAGGGGCGCTACGGGGCCCAGGAGGGGCGTTACGGGGCCCAGGAGGGGCACTACAGGGCCCAGGAGGGGCCCAGGAGGGGCGCTATGGGACCCAGGAGGGGCGCGACGGGGCCCAGGAGGGGCGCTAAGGGGCCCAGGAGGGGCACTACGAGGCCCAGGAGGGGCGCGACGGGGCCCAGGAGGGGCGCTACGAGGCCGAGGAGGGGCGTTACGGGGCCCAGGGGGGGGCGTTACGGGGCCCAGGAGGGGCACTACAGGGCCCATGAGGGGCCCAGGAGGGGCGCTACGGGGCCCAGGAGGGGCGCAACGGGGCCCAGGAGGGGCGCTACGGGGCCCAGGAGGGGCACTACGGGGCCCAGGAGGGGCGCGACGGAGCTAGGGGGGGTCGCGACGGGGCTAGGGGGTCGCGACGAGGCGAGGAGGTCGCGACGGGGCTAGGGGGTCGCGACCGGGACTAGGGGGTCGCGACGGGGACCAGGAGGGGCGCGGCAGGGCTAGGGGCATGAAGGGGCCCAATGGGTCGCGACGGGGCTAGGGGACGAGCGGAAGCGGTAGGTGGGGGGGATCCTAACCTACGCGTGATACCATATCAGATTGAGAGAAATGAATAATTGGGTAGAGGGGGAGAACAGATAGATATACCTAAGTATTGTACCCTCTAGAAGGTGACCCTATACAGTCTATGCAAACATAACAATTACACATGTTTGACACTCATACCATGAAGTAAATCGTCTGGTGTTGTAGTAGACTAGGTATAAAACTATAAACACGAACACTTGGCAAATCCTCAAGTGTTGGTCCAGGATCTTTGCTGGAATGGTAGACTAGTAAGACAGCGGAAGTCTTGTAAAATGTAAAGGTTAAGGTTGAATAACCTGAGTACGTGAACTTGTTGTAATCAAAGTTAATAATGAAAAGACCTGACAGAGATTTATAGTTCTACGGAAAGTACCTATTCGCTAATGTACCTGTTCGTCACTATCGCGCTATGCGCCCTAGATGATATTGAAGAGGTGCGACTGTTCGCGTGACTGAAACGACTGTCTTATGACGAGCGCTATTTGCTGACGTCATTCTACGGACTTATGTTCTACAGTAAGATCCGACACTAACTACACTTAATCGACTTACAGAAATGCTAAGTACCAATTATATCACAACAGGGTTGGGTCCTAGAAGAGTTCTAAGTGTACGTTATGCGTGTGTTTAACAGGGAGCTCAATAGCAGAATCGGATACATTTGGAGAATGATGCCAACTACGGAATGAGCTAGACTATTGCATTGCACTAACAGCAGCTACTGCAGGTAGAGACCAAATCTGCGACCGGACCAAACCTGCACGCATCCTATAAAAGACCAGTCTATATTCTGCGGCTATGTGAGCTGGTTGTTAACCCACGGGTGGCCTGCAAAGGCAGTGAGCGACAGAAGCACACAGTGAGGACCAAAATGAGAGGATGATACGCACAGGGGTGATGTACCGTATGTTGCCCATTCCATTTCCATCCCTCGCATTCTGAGAATTTCTCTCCCTCCCATCCATACCCATTGTCGTCTCACCTCTCTCATCTGGTACCTCTAGTGCCTGAATCCAGCAAGTACCTCCCCCAGGTTTTCCAGCCTCACTCTTCCCTTCCCCGCCGCCCTCGCGGCCTCGCCTCACTCACCCAGTATCTCCAGGGTCGAGATCTGCTCCCGCGGGTTCTTCTCAAGCATCGCGCCAACGATCCCTTAACCGCTATTTACACCGCCAATGCTCTCAGCTCTCTCCCTCTCCCTCTTCCTCTCCCACTCTTCTCTTCCCTCCTCTAACCCCTTCACACTCACCCAGTATCTCCACGGTCGAGATCCGCTCCCGCTCTTCTCTTCCCTCCGCGACACCATCCCCCCCCCCCACCCCCTACACTCACCCAGTATCTCTAGCGTCGAGATTCGCTCCAGAGGGTTCTTCTCAAGCATCGCACCAATCAGCGCCTTACAGCTGTCGCTCACGCGCGCCCACCGCGCCCCTCGGAAGCTCACGTCCCTCGACTTTACCGCCTCCTCCACAGCCAGGGGGGAGGACGCCCAGAAGGGGGGGAGGGCGGTGAGTGCCGTGTACAGCACCACGCCCAGGCTCCACACGTCCGCCTTGGGGCCGTACGATCGGTCCCACACCTCTGGTGCCATGTACTCTGGTGTTCCCATTAAATCTGTCAGGGGCACTCCTGTTAATAAAGGGGACAGCGCAAGGGGAGGAGACTTAGAAGGGGGGGACGGCTGTGAATGCCGTATTCAGCACCACGCCCAGGCTCCACCCGTCCGCCTTGGAGCCGTAGGATCGGTTCCACACCTCTAGCGCCATATATCTAGGTGTTCCCATCAGGTCTGTCAGGGGGGCTCCTGTGTGGTGTGGGGCCGAGAGAGAGGAGGGAGGGGGGGGGGGGGGGGGGGCGGGAAGGAGGGGGGGCAGGACAGGGAGAAAGGGGCCTTGCTAAAGAAACGACGCCCATCGAAAGTCGACCAGCTTAGAGCGACCACATTCCAAGCTGCTGGCACAACACACGCACACACGCGACCTGAACACCTCCCTCACAGCAGGTCGCAGCACAAAAGTCAACCAGCCTAACGCACATGTCACTCCAGGAAACGCCAGCAGGATATTCCCTGGCTTGATGTCGCGGTGCACCACGCTCTTCTGGTGGCAGTGCAGTGTAGCAGCCCTGCTTCCCTGCTTCTCTGCTTCTCTGCTTCCCTGCTTGCATGATGCACATCACAACGAGTACCCCCTCCCTAACCTGCTCTGCTCACCTCTTTCAAATCAAAGAAGGTTGCCACGCCAAAGTCCACCAGCCTGAAACGTGTGTCGCTCCCAGGGGACTCCAGCAGGATATTTTCTGGCTTAATATCGCGGTGCACCACGCCCTTTCCGTGGCAGCGCAGCAGCACTGCTTCCCTCCTACCTACCACGACTCACAATGAGCGCCCTCCCCCTAACCTGCCTACCTCGTTCTGCTGCTCCGAAATCCACCAGCCTGACCCGCGTGTCACTCCCAGGGGACTCCAGAAAGATATTCTCGGGCTTGTTATCGCGGTGCACCATGCCCTTTCTGTGGCAAGCAACACCACCTACTGCGACCACAAGTCACAATATGTCACGACATCTATCCACTCACCTCTTTCAAAGAAGGTCGCCACCCCGAAGTCCACGAGCCTGACACGTGTGTCACTCCCAGGAGACTCCAGAAGGATATTCTCGGGCTTGATGTCGCGGTGCACCACGCCCTTTCTGTGGCAGTGCAAGATCGCCTCTGCCAGCCCCTTGCAGAGGGCAGCTGCGCTACGCTCCGAGTACACGCCGCCCGTGGCGATGCGGTCGAAGAGATCACCGCCCCTGCAGAGGTCCATGATGAGGTGGCAGGCGCGGGGGTCCTCTATGGTGTCGTGCAGCCGCACGATGCCAGGGTGGGATTGCACCGCCAGCATGCACGCCACCTCCTTTCGAATGTCCTCTGCTGCTGCGTGTGACTGGGGGGGCGGATGGGGCGGAGGGGAGGGATAGAGGCATGGTGATCGAGGTGGCAGGCGCGGCGCGGGGGTCCTTGAATGTGTCGTGGAGACTTTTGAGTCGACTCAAAAGTCAAAAGTCACTCAAAAGGCACCTCGGCGCGGGGGTCCTTGATTGTGTCGTGGAGAAACACTGTGGCAGGCTGGATGCCCCCCAATGCCAGCACGCACGCCACCTCCTTTTGAACGTCCTCTGCCGCTGCATGGCACTGGGGCAGGGTGGGGTGGGGTGGGGGTGGGGGGGTGGGGGGGTGGGGGGTGGGGGGGTGGGGTGTGCAGGGATGGAGGCGCGGGGGTCGTCTACTGTGCCGCCGTGCAGTCGGATGATCCCCGGATGGGATTGGACCGTCAGCATGCAAGGCCCGGGGGAACGGGGGCTGGGGGACGGAAGGAGAGGAAATGGAAGGACGGGTGGCAGGACTGGCGATCCTCTTGGGTTCCCTGCAGTCACACCATGCCGGGAGGTCCTCTGGTGCTGCAGAGCACGTGGGACGGTGGGGGCGAGGCAGGGGGAGCAGGGGGAGGGGGGAAGGAGGGATGGGGTAGAGGGGGTGGAGGGTCAGCAGGGATGGAGGAGGTTGGAGTGAGAAACCAGGCGGCCCTCGTTTTAATGCCCTCTGCTGGGTGGTGCTGGTGTTGTAGTGGGTCAAGAGCACGGGGATGGGGATGGGGATGGGGATGGGGTAAAGCGAGCAGATGGGTATGAGGGGAAGAGAGGGACTGAATGAGGGGATGGAAATGTTTGCGAAATAAAAATTCTTCCATTGAAACTGGCCTTGGTATTAGTTTGGCTTGTAAAGAAGAGCAAAAAGAGCTGCCTGCCCAAAAGGTGCAGAAGGAACAAAGAATGCGGCACCGCATCTATAGCCCACTTTTTTTTATTAAAGAAAACACACAACACCAAAAGCTAGTTTGGGAGCGAGTTTTTTCCAGCAAGAAAAATTATTGCAAATCATGGTGCTGGTACATACATTTCGGGAAACATGGAACTTCTCGACAATGTACATGAAGTACACTTCATATCTGAATGTTCGTTACATTTGTGTGGTTTACATGGCTTTTCACCCAAGGCCAAATTCTCTTTGAATCTGTGTGTTATGGATGTGTTTTATATATATATATATATATATATATACATATACACTACATAAAAAGCCCATACTCTTTGAATGGTCCCCCTCTCACGTTGATCTTCTCTTTCTGATGCTCGTGCATGCAAACACCATGCAATGGTCCTCCTCTCACATTGATCTTCTCTTTCTGATGCTCGTGCATGCAAGCACCGTGCAATGGTCCCCCTCTCACGTTGATCATCTCTTTCGGATGCTCGTGCATGCAAGCACCGTGCATGCAAGCACCGTGCAATGGTCCCCATGTCCAAACAATGTTGGAGCAACCCTCTCTTGCTCATGTTGGTGCGAACTCTCTTCGCTACACTACACGAATATCTGATCGCTCCCCGGATGCTCTTGCACGCCAGCACGCGCCTGGTCTCCATCTCCAGACAATGTTGGCACAACCATTTTTGCCAGCATAATATATGTGCACTGCCCTCAATCCACAGAGCTCACCTTGATGCGCCTCTTCCGGATGCTCTTGCATGCCAGCACCCGCCCCGTCTCCATCTCCAGGCACCGCCGGATGACGCCGTACTCTCCGCTGCCCACCTCCTCTCGGTGCAGCACGTAGCGCTCGCTCAGATCGCCGTATGGCTGCCGCAAGACGTAGTCCTGGGGGAACAGACTGCCGCCCAAAGCCTTTGGGACTGCACTGCGGCCGCCCAGCCCGCCCAGCTCGCTTGAGGCTGCAGTGCCATGGGATGCAGCCCCGACTGGCACCGAATTCTCTTTTTCTGGTGCTGTAGTCAGTCCAGTGCGCACCCCAGCATCAGCCACATCATCATTCCTGGCAGCAGCATCAGCAGCAGCAGCATCAGTAGCAGCAGCATCAGTAGCAGCAGCATCAGTAGCAGCAGCATCAGTAGCAGCAGCAGGAGCATCAGTAGCAGCAGCAGGAGCATCAGTAGCAGCAGCAGGAGCATCAGTAGCAGCAGCAGCAGCATCAGTAGCAGCAGCAGGAGCATCAGTAGCAGCAGCAGCAGCAGCAGCATCAGTAGCAGCAGCAGCAGCATCAGTAGCAGCAGCAGCAGCAGTAGCAGCAGCAGCAGCATCAGTAGCAGCAGCAGCAAGACGGCATGCAGCAACATCACCGGCAGCTGCCAGTGCAATCTCTGTTTCCCTCTGCCTGCGCTCTGTGACCTGCTGGCCCTGCACGCCAGTTTGCACATCTGATTGCAGGCCAGATTGCAGATCTGATTGCAGATCTGATTGCAGATCTGATAGCACCTTGGATTCTGACGAGGACTTGGGGAAGGACGAGCGAGCCGACACCGCCACGTTGCCGAGCCTCACCCTTTCCCCGGCTTGTCTCTTGCTAGCACCGGTGGGGGCAGCTCCAGTGGGGCCAGCACCAGTGGTGCCTGCAGCAACAGTGGGCACAAAGGGTTGCAGGCCTGATTGCGCAACTGATTGCCAATCCGATTGCACCTCGGATTCGGACGGAGACTTGGGGAAGGACGAGCGAGCCGACACCGACACCGCTACGTTGCTGCGCCGGCCGACACCTCTTTCCACGGCTGGCACGCGGCCCTGCGTCCCGTTCTGGTATTCAGGCTGGTCTTTGCTTCGATCCACCTTCTGGTTCTTGCCTCCACCAGTGGCACCAGTAGCAGCAGCAGCAGCGGCGGGTGTGGGAGGGTAGAGCAGCAATTTGCTGAGTCTAGTGGGTGTAATTCCCCTCAAATCATATTCCGCAACCACTGGCCGCGCCACTCCCGCACCTGCTGCCATCACCGCAGCTGCCGTTGCTGCTGCTGCTACAGCCGGACTAGTGCCCCCTGCAGCAGAGCTGCCACTCCCTACAGTAGCGCCAGTACCACCCCCCAAGCTTACACCTGAAGCAGCAGCAGCAGCAGCAGCAGCCGCCGCAGTGGCAGCAGGAGCAGCAGGAGCAACCTTTCCTTTGCCAGGCAGACGGAGGGGGAAGCCCCCTGTGCCAGAGCCACCAAATGGCACACCCATGCCTGTGTATCCGAGCCTGCTGCCATGTAAGCCTGGGGAACCGTCCCTTCCTCTGCTTGTCTTCGGTCTGCTCTCTCCGCTTTCTACCGTCCCTCGCTGTCCACCCCACACGGCCTGTGCCTCACCTGCTGCTGCTGCCACCGGTGGTAATGGTAGTGCAGTTACATTTTTTTGGACTGTAGAGCCTATTTTCGGTGCACCCCCCAGATTTTCCGGGCTGCCCGTTACCAGGGTTTCTTCCAGGTTGAACTGAAACTCGGAGAAATCAACGCTCCATCCGCGCCCCCTTCCCAACCTCCTCCGCAACGCCCCCTTCCCTGCTGGCGCGCGTGCTGCTCTTTCCCAAATCCCCCTCCCCCTGAAATTTGGCGCAACCTCGGGACTGGTTTTCCTGCTGCATGGGGACGCTATGCCGCTACTGGGAACGCTACTATCGAGGTTGCAATCAAATCGGTGAACTGTTGCTTTCCGGAGGGCGAAGGGAGCTGCAATGGGGTGCGATTCGGTTTCCGCCCCCACCGTTCCGCTCTGACCGCCTCTTCCGAGCCGTTCACGGGGGAATCGAGCAAATCCTGCGCTTCCGCCACTCCCCCCGCCAGCAGAAAATATGTTCCGCAGCTTGCTCGAAAGAGCCCACAACACTCCGCTCACCTTCTGCTGATGCTGCTCTGGGTTTAGCGGCAACCCGTTTCGTGGATGCGCAAACCCCACCCCTTCGTGCTGCCCCTGCCCTGACTTTCCAAGAATTTCAGAACCCTGCCCGAGCACCTCCTCCCGTCCCTCCTCTTCGCCGTATCCGATTTTCTCCTCCCCCCCTCTTTCCGCCACCTCCGCTGTTCCGTTCCTCGCCTGCCGCCGCCGCAACTCGTCTAGTCGGGACGAGAATCCCCCCGTGCTTGACGGCGGATCCCACGATGCGCCGCGAGGAACTTTTGACTCCGGATTCAATTTGCTGGAGACAGCGGAGTTTGCGCCGACCTTCCCTGGGCAGTTTGCGCCGCTCGCGTCACTCGTACGGCTATCGGCCGTCCTTCCGCCTGTACCGCCATTCGTTCCGCCCCTTATCCCGCTCGCCATGTCCGCGTCGAGCATCGCCGCGGCGGCGTCGCACGATATCACCTGCTCCAGCTCCACCTCCGACATGCTAACCGACACGCGATGCCGCCCCTCCCGCCCCACTCTGCGTCGCCGCCCGAACGGCCACATATTTCCAGTGGGAGCCGACGGCGGCGGCCGGCCCAACGACGCTGTCGCCGTCGCTGTCGCCGGCACTGCCGCCGTCGCCGTCGCTGTCGCTGTCGCTGTCGCTGTCGCTGTCGCTGTCGCCGACGCTGTCGCGTGCTGCTGCTGTTGCTGCTGAACCGACGGGGCAGCCCCCGCCGCGGGGCAGCGGCCGAGAGGCGATTGCGCAAGTGGCGGCAGGGGGGCCGCCGCAAAACCCGGCGTCGAATCTGCCGATGGCGCCGCGAAGTCGAGAAAACTGAAGTCGCACGATGATTCGCCAGCAAGAGCGGACTGGGCGCGGCGGTGACGCGACCCGGCAAGGATCGGGCGACCAACGGCATAAGACGCGATACTACTGGTACTACTAGCAGCGATTGCGGGTTGGCTACGGCTCGGACTGTTGCAAGATGCGATAGCGCTAGACGCGATATTGCTAGACGCGATACAGCTAGACGCGATAGCGCCTGCTGGAATCAAGACAGGGGAGCGTCGCGGCGGGGGGGGTACTACGTGCCGGTAAGAGCTGCAGCGACCGCTTTTCGCCATCACTATCACCGTCTTACTCGGAGACAGATCGTTAGACCGTGACGGTAACGGTAACGGTAACGGCAACGGCAACGGCGAGATCGAACGTGTGCCACCAGAGTTGTTCGAGGCGCGCGGCGGGGCTGGCCCTGATTCGCAGTCTCCGGGTTGGGGTTGGGGCGGCGCGGAGCCGGCGACGGAGGCGCCGAAGCCCACGGGACGCATGGTTGTTAGCAGCTCCAGCGCGTCGCCTTTCAATCGGCGGCGGTTTCGCGTTGAGGAGTCGCTGCTGTGACATGATGACGCGGGCAAGCCGCCGCAAGTGCTTGCGCTGCCGTGGCCGTTGCTGCTGCCGCTGCCACCGCTGCTGTCGCTTCCGTCGCTGCTGCTGGTGCTGCTGATGCTGCTGCTCGAGTCGGCGCTGGTCATGGCGGTAGCTGCGACGGTTGAAGGGCTTCGAGGTGATTGATCTTGAGGTGATTTATCTCGAGGTGTTGTCTCTTGAGGTGCTGTTTCGTGACTGGACCAGTGAGGGGCACACACGGAACGACGTGACGCTTCTTGATTCGTGCAGCGAAGGGGTGACTTGGAAACGTGACAACCGTATTGGAACGCGCTCGGAGTGACATCGAGAGAAGCCATGGACTAGTCGAGGAAAGGAACAGGCGAAATGGCTGCTTCGCTCGGCTGCTGTAACTACAAGTCGTTCTGGAATTAGAAGCTGTCCTGCAACTACAAGATGTTTCGAAGCAAGTTGTTCTGTCACAAGTTGCTGCGTCTGCCGCTTCCTGACCCGTGAGGAGGAGATACAGCGACGGAATGATGACTGGCTGCATTCTGATCTCCTAGACCCTGCTGGGGCCACGCGCTGCGCCATAGCCAAACAGGCTCTGCTGAACCGATGCTCAGATTGTGAGGGAAGGAAGTCCCTGTGTTGTGCACATGGGGGAAAACGAGCTGGGCGATTGGACCTGTGGAGGGGAGGCAGGAAGCCAGGGTGGAGATAGAGCAGGCAAGAGGGGAGAGGAGGGAGGGGCTCTGTTGGGCAGTGTTGGAAGGACGCGTGCAGCAGGAGTGACGAGGAGGGAGAGAGGATGGCAGGCCAGCTGGCGATAGGTGGTAACCAGCAGCACACGGTGGCGAAATGGCGGGTGTTCAAGACAGCGAAACGAACCCAACCCAACCCAACCCTATATTTTGCTCAGCAGGCAGACCTGTATTTCCTCATCGCAAGCTTCTCGCCCAAACCCGTACAGGTCATATGCCCTGAGAGCGACTTCCTTTTACGCCCGGGAGTATCTCATAGGCATTTTATCCTTAAGGACCTCTCCTTGTAAGCAAAGTGTACCCGTGTCATGTGAACAGTTCTCATTACAGTCAATTGGCAACATTTTTCGAAAGCCAATCAGTGTTTTCGTGCGACCATTTTCAATGGCAGGCGATCTGACACTGGCTGTTTGTGTCAGAATTGTCAACCAATGCTCGGAGCAGAATACACATCACTTTCTGGAAAATCCAACAACCACTAGACCAGCCATTTATGTTCCTCCACGTTTGCCCCACAAATTGTGTGAGTAATGTTTGTACAATTGGGGGCCTGTTTTATATCTCTGTAAAATGAATCCGGATGCGCAACCAGGACTGGTCACCGCTCTCGTCGATGTTCGCCTACCCCGTACATCTGCGATTCTCTCAAATGTAAACGCCTTTTCCTTGTTCTTGATAGAGCGCATTGAATGTTGAGTGGAATCTAAAACTTTACCATGAACCCTGAGTTGACGCGCGTGCGACATGGTGAGCGACACCTGATCGCAACAAACGCCAACACTGCCGACCATGAACAGTTCATAAAATACAAGCAAAAAACATTTTGCGACACGCCAGAGTCCCGTTTGCCCGAGCATATTCGATGTACGCGAAATCCCCCGAGTCGCCCCCCGGGCTCTCAGGGCATATGACCTGTAGTAGAAACTCTGTGCGATGCACACAGTGTTTTTGTGCAAATCGCATTCAAATGATCGTGTCGCAACAAACAACAAAACGATTTCGTTCACCATTCCTCCAATCAGCAAGCTCAACTAGAATTCGTTTCGATGCACTTTTCTGTTCAGGCTTGAACTCAAAGCTGCCTTCCATTCTATACTTCGACGGATTTCAAATAACCAAATTCAAGTGGTTTCCAGGTCTTCTATTTTAGCTGCGGGCTTTAAGGGACTAAGGAAACAAATGTCGATCATTTGCTTCCCACCATTTCTTATCAATTTTCTTGCTAAAAAAAAACTGTCAACTTATACATATATTCTGCATGTAGAAGTTATAGGCTAGAATAGCTGTATGTTATTAGAGGGTACAACCCAACCGTATATCTTGCTTGTTCTCTCTTGTTTCTTATTGATTCTAGTATTCTAACATGGTATCATGTGTAGGTTAGGTCCACCCACCCGCTTCTACCCCTCACCCTAGCCTACCACGCCTCATCGGCCCCTCGCACCCTAGCCGGCCCCTCGTGCCCTAGCCGCCCCCTCGCGCTCTAGCCGGCCCCCCTTTCGCGCCTAACCGGCCCCTCGCGCCCTAGACGGCCCCTCACGCCGTCGCCGGCCCCTCGTGTCGTAGCCGGCCCCTCGCGCCCTAGCCGACTCCTCGCGCCGCCGCCAGCCCTTCGCGCCGTCACTGGCCCCTTGCGCCTAGCCGGCCCCTCGCGTTGTCACCGCCCCCTCGCACCCAGCCGACCCCTCGCGCCCAGCCGACCCCGCGCGCCCAGCCGGTCCCTGGCGCCCTAGCCGACCCCTCGCGCCCTAGCCGGCCCCTCGCGCCCAGCAGGCTCCTCGCGCCCAGCCGGCCCCGCGCGCCCAGCCGGCCCCTCTCGCCCTAGCCGGCCCCTCGCGCCCTAGCCGGCCCCTCGCGCCCAGCCCCCCCTCGTGCCTAGCCGGCCCTTCGAGCTTAGCCGGCCCCTTCTGGCGCCGCCGCCGGTCCCTCTACCGCCTCGCCGGCCCCCACCGCCTTGCCGGCCCCTACCGTCTGGCCGGCCCCTCGTGCGCCTCTTCCCCCTTGCGAGCCCTCCGGCTCCTCGCGCGCCCGGTCTCTATTCCGGAGAGTCCTGCCGCCACGTCACTGTATCGCCATGCAGCTGAGTACATGTGTCCCTGTGCTGCTGCGCCTCTGTGTCCCTGTGCCGCTGTGCCGCTGTGTCCCGGTGCCACTCCGGTTGTACGATGGCGGACGCCATGCTACGTCTGGACACGGAGGGGCAGGCGATCGACTTCGCTGCCTGGCTTGTCGATCTTCGCCGGCACCTGACAGGTCAGCGCGGGGATGGGCACTCCCTGGCTATGCATGTTGATGGCTTGCTTCCCCGCCCCTCCGGGCCTGATCCCCTCCCTGCTGACCCCACCACTACTAAGAGTGAGGCCTTTGCTGCTGCTGCGCTCGCTCGCGCTGTCTGGGATTCTCGCGATGCTGTAGCGCAGCTTGCCATTAGTCATGTGCTTCCCCTTTCTGAGCGCCCCCGTTTCACTGCTGTCGCGAACGCCAAAGTCTTCTTGGGTGCAATAGTTGCCCGCTACTCCACGCGTGCCTCCGCCTCAGCTGGACGCTTGATCCTCCCCATGCTCTTCCCCGATCTCTCTGCTTTCCCCACTGTCGCTGATCTCGCCACTCACCTCCGTGCACTAGATGACTAGCCACCGCGCTGCTAGCACTACTGCCTAGCTCACTGCCTTCCCCCGCCATTCTGCGCTACCCTATACCTTATTGACATGTGCCTGCCTGAACGCTTAGCCACTGCCCGCAACCACTTCCTTAGCCAGCACCCTGGTGACCTCACCCTAACCGCTTTTGTCGCTGCCCTTTCAGAGATAGAGACTCGCCAGCGCACTATCGCTCAGTCGAGCGGTGTTGCGGTAGTCCCTCTCTTTCAGGGCTGTGCTCCCTCCCAGTGCACGTACGCTGACGTTTCCGCTGCGGTCCCTACAGCTGCTCCTGCCGCTGAGACCGCAGCGGCGGCCTTCCCGCAACAGCAGCGACAACGTCGGGGCCGTCGCGGCCCCAAGGGAGGGCGTGGTGGTAGTGGCGGTGACAGTGGATCTGACGAGGGGGTTGGGGCAGGCGTCCACGAGCAGCAGCAGCCACAGCAGTCGCAGTAGCAGCAGCAACAGCAGCCGCCACAGCAGCAGCCGTGGGCCCGCCTCCCGCCGGGGTGGCCGGGAGCCCCTTGAGGTGGTGGCCGAGGTGGCGGTCCTCGCAGCTCGGCATCTACCGGCGGCTTTGGTGCTGTGGGCTGCCAGTACCAGCTCCAGACCGGGCCCCTTCGTGGCACTATGTGCCGCCGTCCACACCCGACCGCCCGCTGCTTCCGCCGCCTCGACGACCTCTTTCGTCGCCACTTTGGCCCGGCCCCGGACCTCCCTGACTGGCCCAGTCTGCGGCTCCACGGTGTGCTTATTTTTGACTTAGACATGAATCAGATTAGTTATGCCTTGCATTCTCTGTATGCTGACGCTTCTAGTATGTCTGGATCTTATTACCCTGTGTTCTCTAGCTTAGGCGTAGCACCCGTGTGTAGTTCAAAGACCCCTGTTGCGTCAGGCGTAGGACCGTTTGCTTTGTCTAGTCTAGGCTCCACACTCGCTCCTCCTTCGTCTGCCGCTGCTGCTTCGCTGTCCTTCACACTTGACTCCGGCGCGTCTGCCTGCTTCTTCCGCGACCACGCTGCGCTTACGCCGCTTGCCGTGCCTGCCACTCTCGCACTTGCTAACCCCTCCTCTGGTCCTGTAGTTGCTCGCAGCTACACTACCCTTCCTTGTCCAGCGGTCCCCTTGGGTTCCCTTACAAGCCTGCACAACCCGTCGTTCTCCCGGAAATTAGTTGATGTCGGCTGTCTTCAGGACCTCGGGTCACGAGCGGTACGCCGCCTATACCGAGGCCGCCTTAGGTTCCCCCCTTGCGACGTTCCCCCAGGACCCCGTATCTGGCCTCTTTACGCTGGACACTACTTCCCCCCCAGGTGGGGCGTCCTCCCCCGATTCTGCGTCTACCCAGATCACCGCTGCATGCTCGTGTCGGTCACTCACTCACCCATCGCTTCTGTGGCACCACCACCTACAGTAGGTCACCCCGCGCTCCCATGTCTGCGTCACATGTCCCAGCACGGTCTCGTCCTAGGTCTCCCTACGTCACTTCCTGCCCTCCCTCCCTCGCCTGCGCCGCCGTGCACACCCTACGTTGAGGGCCAGCTCCACCGTGCTCCTCACTCCTCCTCGCTTCGTCCTGCCACCGCACCCCTCCAGACCTTGCATCTAGACGTCTTGGGCCCAGCTCCCGTCCCTGGACCGCGTCGCGAGCGCTACTTTCTAGTGCTTGTTGACGACTACACGCGCTACACCACGGTGTTTCCCTTAGAGCAGAAGGCCAACGTGCCCGACGTTCTTATTCCGTGGGTCGTAGCTGCGCGCCTCCACCGCGGTCTCCCTGTGGTGTATCTCCACTCCGACCGTGGCGGCGAGTTCGCCTCTGGTCGGCTTGGACAGTTCTGTCGTGCGGAGGGCATCGCCCAGTCGTACACCCTACCGGATTCCCCGCAGCAGAATGTGGTCGCTGAGCAACGCATCGGCTTGGTCATGGAGGTGGCTCGTACCTCCATGATTCATGCCGGTGCACCCTATTTTCTGTGGCCGTTCGCCATTCGCGACGCCACTCACCAGCTTAACCTCTGGCCACGCTCCCATCGGCCGCAGGTTTCGCCGACCCTTTATTGGACTGGATCCCCTAGTGACGCGTCCGCGTTCCACGTCTAGGGCAGCCTCGCTCACGTTCGTGCCTCTGGCACGGACAAGCTCACTGCCTGCACTGTCCCCTGTATCTTCCTCAGTTTTTCCCTGGACTCCTCTGACTGGCACTTTTACCAGCCGCCGTCTCACCGCTTCTTTCACTCTCGTGACGCCACTTTCGACGAGTTTGTCTCCTTTTACCACCGCTTTCCCCACCGAGGTCCCCCGGTTTCCCCTCCCCTGTTTCTGGTCCCCACTCCCCCGGTAGACCCTGCTCACCTTCCTCCCCATCCTGCTCCCTCAGGTGTGTCTCACGTCACTCCCCTCCCGTCGGTTGTCCTGGTCGAGGAGTCAGCTGACTCTGGTGGCCCTGCGGTGTAGTTCTTGCCACCTGTCTCTCGCTCGGTGTCTCCTCCTCCCCCGTCGCAATCGCCGCCGCCGCAACAGCCGCAGCCGTCGCATCAGCAGCAGCCGTTCGTGGACTCTGGGGGTGCTGGCGTTGATGAGGGTGCTAGTCCTGGGGTTCCTGCCGTGGCTTGTCCCAGCGGGCTCGGGGGTGGCACCGGTTCTGGAGAGGGTTCTTGCTCTGGGGGTGCTCGTTCTAGGG